TTAGCTTTAGCTTAGCGTTTCGCTTAGCTTTTCGCTTAGCGTTTCGCTTAGCTTTAGCTTAGCTTTAGCTTAGCTTTAGCTTAGCTTGAGCTTAGCTTTAGCTTAGCTTGAGCTTAGCTGTAGCTTAGCTTTAGCTTAGCTTTAGCTTAGCTTTAGCTTAGCTGTAGCTTAGCTGTAGCTTAGCTGTTGCTCAGCTTTAGCTTAGCTTTAGCTCAGCTTTAGCTTAGCTTTAGCTTAGCTTTAGCTTAACTTTAGCTTAGCTGTGGCTTAGCTTTAGCTTAGCTTTAGCTTAGCTTTAACTTAGCGTTACTGTTACTACTAATGCTGCTTTCCTAGGGGTTCCAACTCCTAGGTAGGGTCGCACTGGGATAATTTTGTGCAAGAGCCATGGCACACGTGCCTCTTGTTTGTGTGTCCTGGGGCCCCTCTTGGCCAGTGGAGAAGCACGTATACGCCGATCCTGGGCCCAGGATGAGCCTGGCCATGATCGGTTTAGATGTTCGGGTATCAACTTACGGAAGTTTCCCCTCGTTTTGGGCTGCGCGCGCGTCGGCGACGAGCGCCCACTAGTGCGCAATGGCGCCCGCCAAGCAGCGCCCGGTGGCGCCCAGTGCTGCCGAACAGCGCCCGGTGGCGCCCCGTAGCAGCGCCGTGCGAGGGCGATGCGCTGTGCCCGCTATCGCTTGGCATCGCTCGGACGTGTGCATTTTTCCTTCGGCGAGGACCATCGAGGAGCATCCTTGATCATTTGGCGGAATGGACGTCCGAGCGATGGCGAGATCCGCGCGATTGGGCGGCGCGCCGCTCGGCGCCGTGGGGGCGACCCCGAGCTTCCGTGAGCTGCCCCCGCAAGGCGTGCAGTCGGCGCCCTCTGGCCGCGCCGCCGGCCATGCCGCCCTGCCGGCCCGCGGGTGGCCCGCGAGGGGCGGGGGCGCGCCGGCGCGGCCGCTGCCGCGCCGCCGCGCTGGAGGCGTGTGCGGTGCTGGTGGGTCGGCTCGTCTCCCCCCTCCCCCGCGGAGGCGACGGCCACGACGATGATGGCGGTGACGACGACGACGACGACGACGACGACGACGGTGACGACGGTGAGGATGAGATTGTAAGTGTGATGGTGCTGGGCGACGACGACGACCACGACGAGGAGGACGCAACCCCTCCCCTCCTGCCGCCCCCTCTTCGGACGGGGCCAGGACGAGGGCAAATCCGTTCCAGAGCGTTCGGGAACGCTTCCGGAGCGTTCCGGAACGCTCCGAGAAGGCCGCGGCGCCCGAGACATCCACCATAGCTGCCAGACCTCAGAGATTCTCGACTTGCAGGCAACCCGCATAGTAGGGATGGGCAACCTTCCCAAGGGTACCCTCGCATCCTTGCCCCTTCGGCCAATCCTGACCGACTTTCGCTGGCCAACATCGTTCGGAAAACGTCAACATGGCCTTCCAAGGCCCTTGCATCCTTACTGCACATTTTTCTTAGATGGGTGGACATATCCTTGCCCGATCTTATCCTCGTCCTGGGCCCCTCCCTCCTCACGCCCTCCTGCCCGCCCCCTCCCTCGCTCCCTTCCCTCCGTGCCTCCCTGCTATACATCGCTCTGGCTCCTCCTCCCTGGAGGTGGCCTGCCTGGTGGCCCCGCTCCGAGCGTGGGCTGGCCTGGGCCAGAGGGCCTCGGGCAGGCCGAGGGTTCCGCTGCGTGCCCTCGGCACGGAGAAGGCCGGCTCATGCAGGGCTCAGGGCGGGGGGAGGTTCCGCGGCGGGAAGTTCTACACAACCACCGCCTGAGGGGTCCGTCTTCGGGGAGCTCGGCGGGCGGTGGGTGTGGATCTATTCGGGTCCTCTGGGTCCCAATCTTATATATATACACATTCATATGTATGTATGTATGTATGTATGTATGTATGTATGTATGTATGTATGTATGTATGTATGTATGTATGTATGTATGTATGTATGTATGCATGCATGCATGCATGCATGCATGCATGCATGCATGCATGCATGCATGTATGTATGTATGTATGTATGTATGTATGTATATATATATATATATGCACAAATCCACCGCCCGCTGGGATCCCAGGACGTCGGTTCCAGAGGCGGTGGATGAGGGTAGACCCCCGCCTCGCAGGAGGGGGAGGGAGGGCGAGGAGGAGGAGGAGGAGGAGGAGGAGGGTGAGGAAGGGGATGAGGGGACGATGAGGAGGAGGAGGAGGAGGAGGAGGAGGAGGAGGAGGAGGAGGAGGAGGAGGAGGAGGAGGAGGAGAGAGATGATGATGATTGATGATGATGATGATGATGATGATGATGATGATGATGATGATGATGATGATGATGATGATGATGATGATGATGATGACGATGATGATGATGATGATGATGATGATGATGATGATGATGATGAGGATGAGGAGGAGGAGGAGGAGGAGTGCAAACCTAATACTCATCAACGACATTGCATTCAACTCTCCGTCCAAGTTCCCTCTTCATTGGCTCCTATGAGAATTCATCTTCATTCAAGGAAGTGCTCCGTTGAAAGACAACCGCTTGAAAATCTGGAACTGTGCCAGGACACCATTCCTGGGACTTCATCGCCGCGAATCAAAGGTTACCGTTGCGTCTTGACGATCCTGAATCGTACCAGAGCGCCCTTACTGGAACTTTAACGCCGCGATTCAACGTGACTGTTGCGCCCTGACATTCCGACATCGTGCCAAAGCATTTTCTCTGGGACATTATCCAGGCTAATCCTTGGAACAGCTGCAGACTCTTAAAACGTATTTGCGCGGCGATAAGGCGAGAGCCATATTTTGAAAAGGAACCGCATTCCATCCGTGAAATCCTTGCAATATTTTAAGACAACTGTTTGCGGCGCTAAGGCGAGAGCCACATTTTCAAAACGGCCCGCCCTCCATCAGTGAAGCTCGTGCAACTTTTAGAACGACTGTCTTGTGGCGCAGAGGCGAGAGCCACATATTTAAAACGGCCCGCCCTCCATCCGTGAAACTCGTGCGAACTTTAGGTGCGACACGGAGGAGTGATTTAGAATGAGAGGGATGGAGGAGGAGGAGGAATCACCAGTCCGAGGCCGAGGAGTAGGAGGAGGAAGGGAAGAATGGATGGAGGCGGGGAGGATGTTGACGAGTAGGGGAAAAGGCACATGAGGAGGAGGAAGAGGAGGAGGAGGAGGCGGAGGAGGGGAGAGGGAAGGGTACAGGCGGAGAATGGAGAGGAAGCTCGCAGAAGGCCGACCTGCAGCTGGAGAGGCTGGGGGTGTCGCCGAAAGACCTCCGCGAGGAGTTCACGACGTCACAGGGTCCTGGTGGCCAGAACGTGAACAAG